CTCCTACATCCAAAGCCTCCAAGAAAAATATGAATCAGTCTCAGGCCTTGGAAGAGCTCAAAAGGGATTTTGAGAAGCAAGTAAAAGAAGTAGAGGAAAAACTGGGAAGAGAAATGAGTGATGCAAGAAAATCATGAAAAACAAGTCAACAGCTTGCTAAAGGAGACCCAAAAAAATACTGAAGAAAATAACACCTTAAAAAATAGCCTAACCCAAATGGCAAAAGAGGTCCAAAAAGCCAATGAGGAGAAGAATGCCCTAAAAAGAAAAATTGGCCAAATGGAAAAGGAAGTCCAAAAGATTACTGAAGAAAATACTTCCTTAAAAATTAGAATAGAGCAATTGGAAGCTAGTGACTTTATGAGAAATCAAGACACTGTAAAACAAATCCAAAAGAATGAAAAATTAGAAAACAATGTGAAATATCTCATTGGAAAAACAACTGACCTGGAAAATAGATCCAGGAGAGAGAATTTAAAAATTATTGGACTATCTGAAAGCCATGATCAAAAAAAGAGCCACATCATCTTTCAAGAAATTATCAAGGAAAACTGCCCTGATATTTAGAACCAGAGGGCAAAATAGAAATTGAAAGAATCCACAGATCCAGATCTCCTCCTGAAAGAGATCCCCAAAGGAAAACTCCTAGGAATATTGTAGCCAAATTCCAGAATTCCCAGGTCAAGGAGAAAATATTACAAGCTGCCAGAAAGAAACAATTCAAGTACTGTGGAAACACAATCAGGATAACACAAGATTTAGCAGTTTCTACATTAAAGGACCGCAGAGCATAGAATATCATATTCCAGAGGGCAAAGGAGATAGAATTACAACCAAAAATCACCTACCCAGCAAAACTGAGTATAATCCTTCAGGGGGAAAAATGGTCATTCAGTGAAATAGAGGACTTTCAAGCATTCTTGATGAAAAGACCAGAGCTGAATAGAAAATTTGACTTTCAAATACAAGACTCAAGTGGAACATGAAGAGGTAAACAGGAAAGAGAAATCATAAGAGACTTATTAAGGTTGAACTGTTTACATTCCTGCATGGAAAGATGATATTTATAACTCATGAGACCTTTGTCAGTATTAGGGTAGTTGGAAGGAAAAAATTATATGTTTTTTATAGATACAGAGAGAGAGAGAGAGAGAGCGTGCGCGTTAGCGGGCACAGGGTGAGTTGAAGATGAAGGTGTCATATCTGGAGAATAAAATTAAGGGATGAGAGAGTAGGAGAAGAAGAAAGGGAGAGGCAGAATGAGGTAAATTATCTCACAAAAAAAAAACAGAAAAGAAAAGCTCTACAGTGGAGGGAAACGGGGAAGGTGAGAGGGAATGAGTGAATCTTATTCTCATAGGATTTGGCTTAAGGAGGGAATAACATACACATTCAATTGGGTATGGAAATCTGTCTTATCCTACAGGAAAATAGGGGGAGAAGGGGACAAGAGAGCAGGGGGATGATAGAGAGGAGGGCAGATTGGGAAAGGGGTAATCAGAAGCAAACACTTCTGAGGAGGGACAGGTCAAAAGAAATAAAAAATGGGGGCAGATAGGATTAAGGGAAACAGAGTAGTTTTCACAACATGTCTACTATGAAGTTCTTGCATAACTGCACGTGTATAACCTATATTGAGTGCTTGCCTTTTCAATGAGGGTGGGGAGGAGAAGGGAGAAAATCTTGAACCAAAGTTTTAAAAACATATTTTAAAAAAAGTTTCACATGCAACTGGGAAATAAGAAATACAGGAAATGGGGTACAGAAATCTATCCTCCCTACAGGAAAATAGAAGGGGAAGGGGATAAGAAAGGGGTAGAGATAGAAGAAGGCGACTAGGGAAGATATTCAGAACACGTGCCATCTTGGGGGGAGGAGGCGAGATGGCGAAATTTGGAACTCAAAATCTTGTGGAAGTAAATATTGGAAGCTAAAAATAAATAAATTTATATTCTAAAAAAATTAGAATTGGGCAAGTGGAAGCTAATGACTCCATAAGACATCAAGAAACAATAAAACAAACTCGAATGAAAAAATTGAAAAAAAAATGTGAAAAATAACTGAACTGAAAAACAGATTTAGGAAAAATAATTTAAGAATTACTGTACTACCTAAAAGTCATGATTCCCCGCAAAAAAAGAGCCTACACATCATTATTTCAAGAAATTATCAAGAAAAACTGCCCTAATATCCCAGAATAAGAGGATAAAATAGAAATTAAAAGAGTCAAACAATCACTACCCCTAAAGAGATCTCAAAATGAAAACTCCCAGGAATATTATAGCAAAATTCCAGGGTTCCCAAGTCAAAGAGAAAATACTTCAAGTCACCAGAAATAAATCATTCAAATATTGTAGATCCACGGTTGAAGTCACAAAAGATTTTACAGCTACCACGTTAAAGGATCAGAGAGCTCAGAGTAAGATATTCTGGAAAGCAAAAAAGCTAGTTTTACGATCAAGAACAACCTACCTGGCAAAACTGAGTATAATCCTCCGGGGGCAGGGGGGAAATTAACATTTAATGAAATAGAGGACTTTCAAGCATTCCTGATGAAAAGACCAGAGCTGAATAAAAAATCTGACATTCAAATATAAAATTCAAGAGAAGCACAAAAAGGTAAACATGAAAGAAAAATTATAAGGGACTGAATAAGGATAAACTCTTTACCTTTCTATATGAGAAGATGATATATGTAACTTCTAAGAACTTTATCATTATTAGAGCAGCCTAGAGGGATTTAACAAAGACAAAAGGTGTGAGAGTATGGTTATTATGTTGAGATGACATAAAAAAAAATGGATGGGTAAGAAAGAGAAATGCTCTAGGAGAAAGGGGAAGGTAGAGAAAGAATGAGGAAAATTATGTCACATAAAAGAGGTGCGCAAGCAAGAGTTTTTACAACAGGGGGTGAAATGGTGGAACATGGGGGCAGGCAATGCTTTAACTTTACTTTCATCTAAATAGGTTCAAAGAGAAAAAAATTATACATACATATATACTTATGTATGTATATACACACATAAACACACACACACAATAATACACACACTCAATTGGATATAGAAATATATCTTACCCAACAGGGAGGTAGGATAGGAAGGGAAAAGGATAAGGAGGAGAGGGGGGTGCAGCAGTAAGAAAAGTGAAGGTATATAAAGGAAGGCAGTGGTCAAAAGCAAAACATACTAAGAGGAGGAGGGACCAGATAAAAAGCAAGAGAGAAAGAAACCAAAGAAAATAGCATGGAGGGAAATGCACAATTCATAATTATAACTGTGAATGTAAATGAGATCCATAAAATGGATGCAGATAGCTAAATGGATTATAAATCTAATTTAACAATATGTTGATTACAAGAAACATACTTGAAATATAGAGACACATAAAAGTGTTAACATAAGGGGTTGGAGCAGAATTTATTATGCTTCAATTGAAGGAAAAAAGGCAGGGTAGCAAAAAAATCCAGGAAGACCTTTATGAACTTATGCAAAATGAAATGAGCAGAACCAGGAGGACATTGCACACTGTAACAGCGCTATTGTAAGGATGACCAACTGTGAAAGATTTAGCTACTCTGATCAACAAATAATCAAATGATCCAACACAATTCCAAAGGATGAATCATGAAAAATGCTAACCACTTCCTGAAAGAGAACTGATAAACTCTGAGTGCAGACTGAAACACACTTTTTAAAACTTTCTTTATTTTTCTTGTTTCTGTGTGTTTTCTTTTGCAACATAGCTAATATGGAAATATATTTTGTATAATTTCATATACATATTCAATATCACATTGCTTTCCTTCTCAAGGGATGAGGGAAGTGCAAGAGAAAGAGGAGAATTTGGAACTTAAAATTTAAAAAAAATACATTAAAAAAATTTTACATGTAACTGGGAAATATATAACAAAACATAGAAAAATACACATAAAGCTTTTCTTTTTTCTTTTTTTGCTTTTTTGGTGAGGCAATTGGGGTTAAGTGACTTGCCCAGATAGTAACTGTCATGTGTCTGAGACTGGATTTGAACCCACATCCTCCTGACTCCTAGGCCGGAGCGCTATCCACTACACCACCTAGCTGCCCCCACATAAAGCTTTTCATAACCTGGCCCTTTCTACTTTTTCAGTTTTACTACTCTTTACTCCCCTCTTCATGTACTCTAAGATTCAGCAATAACAACCTACTTGCTGTTCCTTATACATGACATTCCATTTCCCATCCCCATACATTTTCACTAATTGTTCCCCATTCCTAGAATCCTTCCCTCCTCAACTCCACCCCCTAGTTTTCTTGGCTTACTTCAAGACTCGGTAAAAATCCCTTCTTCAAGAGGTCTTTCCTGGTCCCTCTTGTTATTACGGTTGTCCCCTCTGAATTTTGTCACCTGTGAGGTCTTTATATCAATAACATAACAAATCCCACCCCTATTCCTAAGTATCATCTTATTATTTCGGGCAATGTTTCAATTTTGTTTTTGTATTCCCATCACTTAGCCTAGTGCTTAGTAAAGCTTTAGTATATGCTTTTTTCATTCATTCAATCATGTCATTATCAACCCATTAATAATTCAATTTATGAACCAACCTAAAAAAATAACAATGTACAACAGCTATGAAAATCTATGACTCGAGAACACATATATCTGTTCTGAATCTTCAAACCTTAAAATAGATGAAAGACTGCAAAATTCACATAAAGCTCATATTTGAAAGCATAATTCAGTACCACAACATTCTTCTCTTCCACACATTCAATCTAAATAATTTTTTTATTAAATAATTCTACTATTTTGCTATTACTCTATTAGGAAAATTCTCTAAGAGTTACAGATCCTATTTCATTTCCATGAGGCTTTCATCAGCACAGACCACTTCCACATCTTAAATCACTGATCATACACAAACTTAAACAGCTCAACCCCAGAAATTATATTCAAATATGACATTACTTAACACTGACTTATACATTTAAAGTATAAATTTTTGACCGACTTACATTTTCTATGACAAATGTCCATTCTTTATCTTCAAACTCCTCAGCATGTGGATCCTAAAACAAAAATTGAATATAATGAGTTAAAAAAAATTTTTTTAAGTTCCTTTGGGTTTTGTTAAGCTTATAAATAAAGTTACTCCTTTTTCTACCAGTACTTTTTGAGCTTGGTCCAGTAGCTAACAAAATGAGCAACCCAAAACGATCTTAAATTTTTTACCTTTTACCCTAATAGCCTTCCTCTAATTAAAATGACACATTACCTTTCGCACTAAAACTTTTCAGATATTTTTTGATAACAATATTCCTGTTTTTCCAGAATGCTTAAAATAGTCCTATTTAGAGATTAAGTTGGTCAACAAATTTAGAAAACAACGTAAAAAAATCAAAGACATGTTCCGAAACTATCTCCTGACTTATAGGAAGTTATGCAGATATTTCAAAATCCTCCTCTGGTATTTCAAGAGACCTGTAACTGTATCAATAGTATCTCTGAGGTATAGAGAGCTAAATCTATAGTTTTAGGTCTGGAAGTTCACAAAATACCTTGAATCTACAGATCTAAGTTATGAGCTGGACAATGGAAGGGGAGGGAGGAGAGAGAAAGAAAAAAAAGGGTACACTGGCAAGGGAAGGGGAAAATAACCGAAAGGGGCATTACATTCACACAGAATATTTCAGTGCCCAACTTTGTACCTTTGCATCTCTTCATGTCAGGAAATGTTCTCCCCTACTATCTCCATTTTTTTGAATTCCTAGTTTCTTTAAAAAAGAACTCAACTCAAGTAATACCTTTTACATGAAGTCTTGCTGATCCCCTAATGTGTTAGTGCTTTCTCTCACAAAACCACCTTGAATTTATTTCTTACATTTGTTGCACATAATAATACATGTGTATGTTGTCTTCCTTTGTAAACATAATCTTGTAACACAAATGGTTTTATTTTTGTCTTCATCTTAGCAGTTACTAGCACACAGCAGGCACTTAATGTTTGCTAATTGATTGCTCCACACCACCATCACCTTTCAAAATCCTTTTTTTTTCCTACAACAGCCATAAATATTTATTAAGTGCCTACTAGGTATAAAGTACTATCATAGACACTGCAGGATATATGACAAATAAGGCATAGTGCCTCAAAAGAACTGAAAAAATCTAGCAGATTTAGGCAGACACCACTCCTTCAACGAAGTCTTTAAGGTACAGCTTCACCATTTACTATTTCTACAATTGCAAAACCAAAAATCACTATAAACAAGGGATGGAATCAACTAGTCTTTTTTGTATTCTTCCTTCCACCCTTTCTTATCTACTTTGTTTACTATTGAACTAAAGACAGATACAGAAACAATGTGGCTTGATTTCATAGCTTCCTCCAAACTGGTACCCAGTCATTAAAAAGTAATTTTTACTTACTAAAAAAAAAAAAGGCAATTTCCAATCATTTTAAAAGGTTTTAATACACAAAATTAAGGTGGAAACTAAACTTGGAAACAAGAAAAATACTGGCATCTCAAAAACTGCTTTCTGTATTTATGAATGACTCAATGACAATTTACAGACTAGACATAATATGATTCATCATTAGCACAAAGCAGTTCTTACGTTAGTTACAGATTTAAAGAAAACAACACACAGTTATGTTATAAATATGAAAACGTAGCAGGAAGGGGACTACTGAAGAATTTTTACTTGAATACTGAAATTTTCTGGTCAAAAATAGGATCTCAGAACAGCCAAGAAAAGATACAGAGAATTTTATTTTAGTGTTCCTTTTCTCTTAGGACTCAAGACAAAGAAGGAAAAAAAGCTTCATTTCAAAATACTCATGTAATGATACTTTTTAAGTAGACTAGACCTGACAGAAGTAAAAAGGCTATTCTGTTTCAATAGGACAAGTCAGAGAAAGCATACTGATATAACAATTGACCATTTTCCCCAAAAAATATGTTGTCAACAGAGCAGCCCTAAAGGGTCCACAGGTGACTGTATGTCCAAGGAAGATACTCCTAATATTTTCAATGGTACTTCCTAGACTATCTCCTCAAGATAGGTAGTATCACATTTCAACTGTCACTCACAAAATCACGGTCATTTGGCATTATTTCCTCAAATACATGATTATCTATCTGGAAATCAGCTTCATTTCTACCACACTATTCAGATAAACATTTTACTAACACCTTGCAGGGTCATACAACCTACATATGATTGTCATGAAGAAATCACTTTATGAATGTTGTCATTACTTGTCCTTCTTATTCAAAAAGGGCCAATGACATCACAGAGCGATGCCTTGATTCATGCATGACTGGATTTAAGTGAGGCAGATTTGCACTTTAGGAAAATCACTTTGGTGCCTGAATGGAGAATGGATTCGAATCAGGGAGATGCCTGAGGAAAACAGCACACCAGCAGGATATTACAATAATCTAGGTATAAAATGATGAGGACCTACACTACAGTGGTGGCAGTATTAGAGGAAAGAAGGGGATGTATTCAAGAGATGTTGCAAAGGTGACATCAATAGAACCTGACAACCGCTAGGATGGGGAGGGGAGGGGAGAGAGAGAGGGGAATCCAAGATGATTCTTATGTGAGCCTAAGGGACTACTAGGAAGATGGTGTTGCCTTCTAAAGCAATACAGAGTGTAAGATGTTTACTGGACATGCAATTAAAGATGTTTGAAAGGATGTTGGAGATGCAAGATTAGAAGTCAACAGATTGGGAAAGGAAAAGTAGATTTCAGAATCATTAGCAAAGAGGTGGTAGTTAAATCCATGGGAGTTGATAAGATCACCAAGTGAAGTAAGAAGAAAGAAGATTCAGGATATAATCTTAAGGGATATCTATCTTCAGAGGGCATGAACCAGATGAGATCCAGAAAAGGAGACAGAGAAGAAGCAGTCAGACAGCTAGTAAGAAAACCAGGAGAAAGTGCCATCCTGAAAACCTAGAGAAAAGAGAGTATTCAAAGAGGAGAAGGTGATCAACAGTGTCGAGGCTGCAGAAAGGTCAAGGAGAACAAGGATTGAGAAAAGGCCACTGGACTTGGCAACTAAGAGATCATTAGAGAAAGTTATTTCTGTAGAATGATAAGATCAGAAGCCAGATTGTAAGGATATAAGAGATTAAGAGGACAGAAAATGGAAGCACTTTTCATAGATGGCCTTTTCAAGGAGTTTAGCTTTAAAAGACAGAAGATAAATAGGATAATAGTTAGCAGGGATGGAAAGATCAAGTGAGAGTTTTTTCAGGATGAGGGAGACATGGCACATTAACAGACAGCAGGAAATGAACCAGGAGACAGGGAGAGGTTGAAAATAAATCAAAGAGTGGTGATGACAGAAGGGGGCAGTCTGTTGGAAGAGATGGGATGGAAATCGATCATTTGAAAAAGTAGAGGGGTTAGCCTTGGTAAGGAGTAAGGACACTTCATCACATGAGACAGGGGTGAAGAAGAACATGGCAGAAGGCACCTAAATGATAAAAGACAAGAAAGGGGAGAGAAGAGGGACTTCACAGCAAACAGCCTCAATTTTTTTCTGTAAAATATGAGGGATGATTCTCAAATGAGAGACTGGGGAAAGGGGGGACCATGAGAAGTTTAAGGAAGGATGAAAAGATTTGGAAGAGCCACTGTGGAGAGTGGGACAGTGAGTTGACAAGGGAGGTACAGTAAGATTGTCTAGCAGCACTAAGGGCCCAGATGAGGTCATATAACATAAATCTGTAGTGGACCCAGGCAGAAAAGTTCCATAATTTTCTCCACCTTCATTCCATAGCACATATATAGGGACAAAAGCAAAGGCAACAAATGGTGGGAGTTATCCAAGGTTAAGGCTTGACTTGCCATAATCAGTGATATGATGAAGGGGCTAGGGATTCAGGAGAGGAAAGTGTAAAGCTGAATTGGTTCACCAAAGGGTCAAGATGGAGAGGAAAGGACTGAGGGACTAGTGCAGGGAAGACAGCCTGGGAGAAAATTGAGGGGTCAAGAGACTGGAGGTCATGGTGAGGATGAAGAGTAAGATTATGTAAAAGAAGTCAGAGGGAAAGGTAAAAAGAAAACAGGTTATGGTCAGACAAGAGAATTTCAAATTCTTGAAGATGGAGGTGGTACATCTGTGGTGATGGTAAGATAAAAGGTATGACCATTTTTGTGTGTGGCTAAGGTGGCTGAAGAAGTAGCTCATGGGAAGTAAGTAGGTTAAAGAACTGAGTGGCTAGGGTATTTGTATGAGAAGGGCAAGAGCTGGGGAGGAGAGAAAAACTATAAACCACATACCCAACTCATTGAGGAAAGAAGGCGAGTGATCTGGGAGTCTGTAGACAAGTGCTACTAGAATTTTGATTAGGTAGTAGATATGAACAGCATGAACCTCAAAGGAAGGGAAATCACTGAGTGAAGGAGGAAGGGGGAGAACTTGGAAATGGCAATGTGAAACAAAGAGTATTCCAATTCCTCTGCCTCAACCAGCCAGCTGAGGAGAATGAGTGAAAGAGCAATCAGTACTGGAAAGGGAGGCTGTGTCATCAAGGGAAAGCCAGGATTCAATAAAAGCTAGTAGATGGAAGGAGTGGGAAAGAAACAGGTATAAGACAAAGGGAAGTTTGTTGCTTATGGAACAGGCATTCCAGAAGGCACATTGGAAACAGATCCTTCTCTGTCTCTACAATACATGCCAAGATTCTATGGTACAATAATAAATAAAAGAATAGCAAGAAACTATCATTCATTTTTTCCTTAATCTATTTCCATGAAAACAAAATAAAGGACTAATATTATATGACATGGACTGACCAATAAATGCTTAAAGGTTTTTTAAAAATATTTTCCAATATTTTAAATATTCTACTGCTTTTGTTTGTAGGATTGATCTAATTCATCTTGGAAAAAATGTACTTCTCTTTGGCCCAAATGATCCACCCTTCTTTTCCTAAAGCACACACACACACAAAAAAAAAAATTAGTTCTTTTTCTTTTCTCACAGCACAAAAGATTAAAATATAAGTTTAATCTTAAGGGTTTTTTTGCTAAATCAACAATTTGGGGGCAAGGGTCTGGACCTGTGATTTCAACATTTTAAAGAACTCCTGGTATAAAAACTTCCTTTAGTAATTGCAGATTAGCAACTACTATATATATAATAATTTCAGAGACCTGCCCAGCACTCTGAGGGGTTAAGTGATTTATTTACAGTCAGACTATGAATCAGAGGCAAGAATGGAACACAGGTCTTTCTAATTTTAAGCCTAGTTCTCAATTCATTACTCCATACTGCCTCTAAACTTTAACTGAAAGAAAAAATGCAATTACTTTAATTGTATAAATGTAACATAAAGTAGCAACAAATGGTAGCCATTAAAATATAGAAGATGTTAAATCTCAAATATGTACTTTATACCACATTATTAGAGTCAGCAGAATGAAGATCTACTTAACCAGGACACCAGAGCTTATGAATACACACATACATACTACATACATACATACATACATACATACATACACATACATTCTTATATATTTGTGTATGTATATGTATATCTATATGAGCATAAATACAAGCATATATATAAGCACATGCACATATATGTGTATGTGTATATAAATAAATATGTCTGTATTGACAGATACATATCTACACACACATATGGGTGGGTGCCAGGGGAGAAGGTAAGCCTAAAAACAATGTACCAAATTCCTCCCTTAAAAACCTGTCACTGTCTCTAACAGCAATGATATTCATTATAATGACTGGGCTTTAATAGGAAGAATAGACTGTTACAACACTGAGAATCATAATTACGCAATAATACATTTTGCAATGTATCTAATGAATCAAACAGCAAACATTTAATAAGCATCTACTATATACCAAAAACTCAGCTAAGAAGCTGATCACACAATGACAAAAATTATACAGTCGCAGCCCTCGCAGAACTTACATTTGAAAGAAACAATTATTTCTCTCTTGTATTAATAACCAATTATTGTATTAGAATCAAAGTCTTTTTCCCCTTTTCTACTTCCTTATCCAGAAATCAACCAGTATGGAAAATCTTTCTTAAAGATTTACCCAAGCCAAGATCTAATCAGACAGTAAAAGAAATTCTAAGTTTACGTTTATGGGTACATTCCTGCTTAGACAGATCTAGGAAAGTACTGATTCTCCCCTTTGTCAGACAGGTGATATGTAAATTGATATGTCTCTTTGACCAAGATTTGGGTGATTCAAGTCACTTTACTCCAACACCCTCATTGTAATACAGCCGAGCTTCTCATTGTAATATTCATTTTCTCATTAATCATTACCCAATCAGAGTTGACTGTCACCCTCAGGAACACCTGGGAACAGAAACTGTGAGCCCACCGCCATGTAGGGTTTTTGGTTTATGTTCTTTTACTAATAAACATGCTGGCATTATTAACAAGTTGATTAAATTACCCAGAAATTATGACCCTCCAACTTTTTTAAATGCCATACATTGTATTAGGAAAAACAAAACGTACAAATGAAACTTACCTTAAATAGAGTCACAGTGATTTCAATGTTTTCAGGAACAGGCCACACAACCACACCACGGTAAGGATTTTTTATTCCAGGTTGCCAACTATGAGCCTACAGAAAAAAAAAAATAGTAATAATAAACGTGTGCGTGTTAGTTTCATGAGAAAGCACAGAAGAAATGTTATTCCTACTCAGTCCCTATCATGTAGGTCATTTTTACTATATTATTTTAATCTACAAAATAATTAAATACGTATTATACCATTCTTAAAAATCCATAGTCCACCATCAACTGAAATCATATGATTAAAATGAACAGTAATTCAATCCACAAGTTAGTAAACTGCATCATTATTTGTAGTTCAATATTTATACAAAAGAGAACAGACCTTCTAATTGCATTTATTCATATAAAATTATAAATTTCTGGAGAAGATAATAATAATAATAACTAACATTTCTATAACACTTACCATGTGCCAGGAACTGTGCTAAGTACTTTACAATTATTATCTCATTTGATCCTCACAACCCTGGGACAGCAACCTAGGTGCTATTATCCTTCCTATTTTACAGAGTAGGAAACTAAGGCATCACACAGCTAATAAGTGTCAGGCTAAATATGAACTCATGTCTTCCAGAATCCAGGCCCAGCACTCTATCCACTGTGTCGGGTAGCTGCCCCTATTAAATATACACTTTGAATATCTTCTGTTAGACTTTACAATCTGAATAAAATAATACCCAAAACAAAGACAAACAAAACTTGTTTGAACATAAAAGAAATAGACTGGCAAAAGTTCTTTGGGGTAGGGGAGCAAGTACTAGTACAGGGGGGGGGTATGGAATATCTATATTTTATTGATTACATGTGACTTCTTCATATTAAATGAATTATCCCAAGGTCAGAAGCCAGAACACAGAAGGTTTAGAAAACAGAGAGGAGAGGAAGAGGATGTAGCAGTGTAGACTGCTTTCTCAAGGACTGTAGCTTAAAAATGGAAGGACACATACATACATATTGACACTCTGTCAAATACTCTAGCTTTACAATTCCTCAGTCTGCTCAGTTTTTACGACCTACGACTCCATTTCACCTTAACAGGGATAATCAAACTCTTGCTTATGCCTTCACTCACAAGTGTTCTACTTCCACATTCGTAAACTCCAAAATTCCTTACCTGATTATAAATTTCCATCAGTCCATCTATCCCTCTGCCTTAGGACCCCTAACCCTGTCCTTTGTCCTCACTCTAACCTCCAATACCTCCAGCACCCCTTTGTCTTTTCTAGGCAAGCACTCTTGAAACGGCTAAATACTCTTCCCTTTCCAATCTTGATCCCTTGTTAAATCAGTTCAACTTCCAAACTATCCTTCATGTTTGAATCTCTTTCCTCCTTGACCTATCATCAATTATGCCTTGTGAAACCTCAACTTTGGAATGCTTCCACTATCCACTGCCTTCCTATCAAATCACAGGTTGACCTATGGAACTAAAAGAATTCCATGTAAATCCTCAATGAAGAAAAGCAATCCTTGCTTGCTTCATAGGTAATATGTATTCATCTTAAATCATTTCCTTTCTGACCCCTTCAGTTTTCTGGTTTTCAGTAAGATCTTGCTCACTCCTAATGACACTGCCTTCTTGACCAACCTTTCTAGCACTGGTTGGACTTTCATTCATTCAATCCAACTCAGTGATCAAGGGGAGAAGTTGAAATATTCCTTGCTCCCCATTGCCAATTTCAGCCTTTTCCTCTATCATCATCTCAAGAACTTTTTCTCCTTTGAGGTTCACTCAATCTCTTTCTACCACCTAATCAGAATTCTGGTAGCTGCTGCCTACCACCCTCCACAGGGACATTCATTTTCTTTTTTCTTCAATGAAGTCAGTCATTGGCTCACAGTCTTCCTCTTCTTTTCAACTCTTGCCCTCACACTAGGGAAGTTCAACACACACACACACGTAGATATGTATGTATGTATATGTGTGTATAAATATAAATATATGTATATGGGTGGGTGGGTGTGTGTGTGTGTGTGTGTGTGTGTGTGTGTGTGTGTGTGTGTGTATACATACACATACATATTGACAGTCCCTGAAATACCCTAATCTCCCAGTTCCTCAACTTCCCTCATTTCACATGATCTAGTCCTCTATCCTAACTCAGGTATACTCACAGATGGCATACTCTTGATCATGGCATAATGCATGACTGAACCACTATCATGTTCATGTACTCTGATATTCCTTTATCTAATCACAATCTGTTATGATTCCACCTCTCCCTCTGCCTTACAGCCTCAAACACTGTTTAACATCCTCACAGCAACCTCCAATCCCTTGAACCGTCAGTTCTTTCCCATGCTATCACCTCCGGTCAAGCTACACTTTCCACCCTTCTCCATCTAAACCCTTCGGTGAACGAGCTCAATTCCACACTGGGCTTCTCTCAAGTTACCTTCTCCTTTATAATATTACCTATCTTTCCCTGATATGCCTCAGCCTTGGATTACATCCACTGCCTTTGCTTCTGAATGAAGTTGAAGAAAATCACAAAACTATGCTGACTAGGTCCACTAACAAACTTATACTACATAACCTCAGCTGGGCCCTCACTATTCCAACTAATCTTTCCATACTTGTCTAGTTAAGTCATTATCCCACTCACCACAGAGGCTCTTCCATGTTTTTCATCCGTCCTCAAATCTCACTCTTCTCCTACCCTTGCCTCACATTTTACTGAAAAAAAAATCAAGGCCATTTGCTGAGGGCTTTCTTTTGACACTGCTCCCCACACTGGAGACAGGACCTCATCTCCTCACCTCTGGATTACTACAACAGTCTACTAGTTGGTCTCCCTGCCACAAGTTTCTCCCCACTCAATCCAGACTTCCGGGTCTCCAGACACTCATCATTCTGCAAAATGGAATCAACTCTGAAACTCTTACCTCCTCAGCACTCCCTGCCCCTGGGTCACCTACCTCCCTATGACCAGAAAGCGTAGAATGAGGACATTGGAAACCTTCTTCCTGATCCTCCGCAATTTAAGAAAGATTCTCAGGGAATTCACCTCATCACCTGGATGCTTTCTTCAACTTCAGGGTCTCCAGAAACCCATCATTCTGCAAGATGAAATCAACTCTGAAACTCTCACCTAAGTTTATTTCCCTCTTGAGCTGCAGCATTTCATCATATTCTCCACAGCAATAACCTCTACTACTCCTTATTTCTCATCCCCACCGTTTAAGGTTCTTTGTACGTGTTGTCTTCCTCCATTAAATAGTGAGCTGCTTGAGCACAGGGACTTTCTCATGTCTTTCTTTGTATTCCAAGCACAGTGCCTGGCACATTGGAGATACTTAATAAATGTTCATTGACTCTGACTCCTTTGACTAATATCATAACCAAAATACAGAGCTCTCACATCAAAGCAAAACTATTGCAAACATCCAGAAAAAAAGCAGTTAAAGTACCAAGGAACTACTGCCAGGATCAAAAGGACCTAGCTGTTCATATTATAAACAAAAGGAGCTATTAGAATATAATAGGTCAAAAGGCTTATAAATAATGACTTATTCGGCAAAGCTGAGTATAATCCTACAGAGGAAAAAATGAACCTTTAATGGGAGAAGACTTTCAAGCATTTCTGATTAAAAGATCACAGAGGAAAAGGAACTTTGAAATACAGAGACAAGAGTCCAGAAAAACCTAGAAAAGTAAATTAATTTGAGTAATTGAAAGGAAATATATGATTCTCCATAACTGGGGTATGTGAGAAAACTATATCAATATGGCAGAACGGGTAGGGATAGTGAACATCAGATGAACCTCACTCATCTAAAATGAACAAAGTAGGGTTCAAAACACACACACACACACACACACACACACACACACACACACACACACACACACACACACCCAAAAATTTGGTACATCAAACTCACAAGGGAAATGAGTAAAATGGAGGAGGGGAAAGAAGCATAATATTGGGAAGGGCACAGTAATAAACAAAATAAATGTTCTGATACAGAAGAAGAAAAAAAGTGTAGAAAGAAAAGAACTAGAACCTAAGGAAATATTTTAGACTGCTTTTTAGACAGCTGGGGAATGGCTGTACAAATTGTTGTAAATGATTTAAGAGAATATTATTATGCTATAAAAAATGATGGGGGGAAACGATTTCCGAGAATGCTGAGAAATACTAACTGATGTGGTGAAGTAAGAAGAATCAGGAGCATACGTAAGGCCAGCAACACTGTAAAGAAAAACAATTTTGAAAGAATTAAGTAATTTAATCATTGTAATAATCACTCATGCCTCCAGAAAAGCTAAGATGAAGTGCTAGATACAAAGTACAGAGAGAGGGAGAGACAGAGAGAGAGAATTTTTTTTTAACTTGGTCACTGTGGGGCTTCCTTTGCATTACAATGTTGGGGTAAGAGTTTAGAAGATAGTAGTTAGCAACAGTGATGCTTAAAAAAAGGGTCATTGAAATTTTTGAGTTTCAGAAGACAAATGAACGAGACAGTTTTGACAGTATTATGTAGAATTTATTATATGCATTTTTTAAAAAAAATGAAAGATTTGTGGCATCAGGTAGAATATTCTATGTATTGCTGTATGTCTGTAAATGTTCTTTGTTTTTTATGTTTAGAATTTAGACAGACAGACAGACAGACAGACAGATAGATAGATAGATAGATATAGATAGATAGATAGGTAGATAGATAGATAGATAGATAGGTAGATAGATAGATAGATAGATAGATAGATAGATAGATAGATAGATAGATAGATAGATATCATTTGAAGATCTATGATCTACCTTCCAAACTTCTCCTATGACTGAAATTGCCAAAACTAATGACTTTTTCTAAATCTTCATCCTTGTTAACCTTTCTATAACCTCTGACACATCCTCTTCTCCTGGATACTCTCTCCTCTAGATTTTCATGAAACTGTCTTTCTCATTTCTTCTCCTACTTATCTGATCATTCCTTCTCAGTGTCCTTAGCTGGATCTTCATCCAGGATATGCCCAAGTGGTAGGAAACAGAAAGGTACCTATAGATTGAGATTATAAATAAGGAGGAGAAAGAGGAGG